AATTTGTGAAAAAGAAGGTGAATTGCCCGTGAAAAAATAAAAAAAAAAAAAAAAAAAAATCTCTGTATAGTTTGGTTTGGTTTGGTTTGGTTGTTTGTTTTTGGATATTTGGTGTTTTTTTGGTGTTTATGTCATGTGTATATAGTGATGTTAACATGATTTTGAAAAAAATGATTTGATTTGACAAACATAACCACATTGAAAAAAATTTTCAAAAAAAAAAAAATCAGTCAACCTAACCTAACCTCACTGTGTTTTGTTCACAAAAAAAAAAAATCAATCAGCCAATATAACCTAACCTAACCTCACTGTAGAACAGCAACAACATTGTTCATGTTATTTGTCATGTTTTGAATCAAATTTTTTTTTTTTTTTCGTTTCAAAAACCAAAAACAAAACGAAAACAAACAAAAAAAATTTTCATTATTAATTCAAATCAAATTAGGTGAGTTTGTTTGTTTTTTTCAATTTGTTTGAAATGTCATTTTCATTTGTACTGCAGCATCAGTGCAATGCTAATGATTAAAAATTTATTTTGGATTTTTTTTTTATTTGATTGACAAAAACAAAAGAAGAAACAAAATTCTTTCTGCTTACTTATCTTTTTTTTTCTTATTCGAATTGAGAATGCGTTCATCATCATCTTAAGATGAACTTGACTTTTGTTTTCAAGTATCCAAATATTCTTTCCCCCTCCAAAAAAAAAAAGAAAAGTATCCTAATATTCTCTTCCCCCCACCCAAAAAAAAAGTATCCGTATTCATGTTTTCATTGGCTTCCAGTCTTTTTGTCAAACAAAACGAATAGCCGAATGACTGACTGACTGACGTCATTATCCATATTATTAGTCAGATAAAGAAAGAAAGAGAGTTACAAAAATTTTACTTTTTGATTTTACTTTTTTTTACATTAAAGTTTTCTTTTACTTTTTTCCAATTTGAATAACATCAAAAGTAAATTGAATCAAGAGAAATGATGATTTCTTTTTCTTTTTTTTTGGCCGGAAAAACCGATTTTCATTTTTTCATTTTTCATTTTTTTCGTTTCTCAGTTCAACTTGACATTTACCAAAAAAAAAGAAAAAAATTCAGAAATTTCAGAAAGAAAAATTGATTACCCGTGAAGATCATGCATACAAAATGACTTGACAAATTCAAGCTGCCGGAATTGAAAAAACAAAAAAAAAAACAAAGAACAAGTTTTTTTTTGCCATTGTCATTTGATTTATTCATTGTTTTTCTGTTTGTTGTTGTTGTTGTTGTTGTTGTTTTTGATACAAAGTAAACAAAACGACAACAACAATCAACAACAACAACAACAACAATCAATTTCAATTTTAATTTAATTAAAGTTTTTTTCTTTCTTTGTTGTTGTTTTTCCAAACGAAAAAGAATTTTAAAAAAAATTAAAAAAAAACTTTTCTGCATGACCGTTTGTTTATTGATGAAACACATCATCATCAAACATCATCATTTATGGAATTAAATCTTCAAAAATTTTAGGTAAAAAAAATTCATCATCATCATCATCATCATCTACCTACCTTTGTCATTATTATTTCATAATTATCATTTTTGTTCACCTAGAAACATTGATATGATTTATTTGTATGTGTGTTTGTCTATGATGTTTGCTTGTTTTATTTGTTTTTTTTTCTGTTCATGTCCATGTTCATTTGGCATTTTTTCATGTTTCTTTCCCCCCCCCCGAAAAAGAAGAATATTCACATATAATAATGATAATGAATGATGGCTATTTTGTTGTTTTAGTTAAAGTTCGCAGACGCAGCCGAAAAAATTTTCAATAATCAAAAATTTCCTAACTACGATGATAATGATGATAAAATGATTTACTTTTACATTGAAATAATGGCTATATATAGCCATCATTTTGAATGAGATTTTTTCTTCATTTTCATTTTTTTTCCGTTGTACAACATTTGTAATCTTGTAATAGATTTTATTTATCGGTAATAAATTCGGAAATGATGATGATGATGATGACGATGATATTGATGACGTTGACAGCGAATGAATATATTTGTTATTTGAATAACAACCATAGAAGAATGGCGCCTGCGTCATGGATTCTTTTTAGGTTCCAAAAATTCCTACTGGTTCTGTATTCTCTCTCTTTCTATCTATATATTCGATGGCCAGAATAAACCAGAAAACCTTTTTCTGCAACAACTTTCGCTAGCCATTTTTTATTTTTCTGAATCAAGAAATAGTAAAAGTTTTTTTTTCGTTTGAGTTTTTTCGTCTTCTTCTTCTTGAGTTTGGTTTCATTCACCTAATTCACTTCATTTGCTTCACTTCACTTCAATAATCATCATTATTTTTTTCACCGCAGCAAAATGTAAAACTTTCAAGCAGATTTTTTTTCAATTTTTTCAAAGAACAAAATTTCTTCAAAAAATATTTCCATATTTCCATTTTGTTTATTCAATCTGCATCCCAAAAAATTCATTCTTGGTGTTTACAAGAATGCGTATTCCACAACAACAACAACAACGAAATTATTTCATTCAATAAAATCAATTTCTTTTCTTCTCTTCTTTTCTTTTCTTCTAGTTCAATTCACAACAAGATCATTGACTTGGTTTGATTTGAATTTCTGGTTTAAATATTGTTCATCATCATTTCATTCGTTTCTTTCATTCTTTCGTTTCGTTTTGTTCATTCTTTCGATTTTCTCGAGTTGTGTTCTGCCTTTAGGTTTTTGTTTGTTTGTTTTGGTTCGGTTCGGTTTGAATTGTTTGTGAAAAAAAAATTTGCAGTTTTCCTTTCTTTCTTTTCTTCATTCTTCCGTTTCAACGAATAATTACGGGTAAATATTTCTTTGTTTTTTTTCCAAACCCAAAACCACCACTGTAAAAATAGACCAAACAAACAAAACAATCAATCATAAAAGAATAGACAATTTTTTTCATTTGTTTCACAATAACCATGACATCATCATCGATTATTGATTATCGATCCAAAAACAAAACAAAAAAAAAACATAAAAAAATCGATACATTTATTGCTACAAATAAAAAAAAATGTATCAAAATAAATTTGATTAGATATTCATCATCATCATCATCAAGATAATCAATAAATAAATAAAAAAAAACATTTTGCAAAATGTCAATAAATGTTTCTGTTATATGTTAATAACCAGATCATATTACAAGCATAAAATTTTCTTTTTTTTTGTTCTGTTTCTGTTTCTGGATCGATTCTCTGGTTATACACTCAGTCACTGTATGTTTGATGCATGTTTTTGCATTTTGTTTAAACATTCACAGAATTCACCATCATCATAATGGCAATATAGACAAAGAGAGAGAGAGAGAAGACATTAATTGAAAAACAGCAACAACAACGAGATGTTCATGTTACATTGTTTTGTCAGTTGTTTTCATTAATTTTGAAAAAAAAAATGTTTGGACATGTAGAATCACAAACTTTTTCGTTGTTGTTGTTTATCAAAAGAGGATTAATGTTTGAATTGAAAATTGATGCACTCTCTCTCTCAAATACACATAGAGAGAGAGAGAGAGAAAGAGAGAATTCATTTTCAACATATATGTGACAAAAAGCACAGAATTCTCGGGTATACGTGGAATGATTTTTCTTTCTTTTACTTTTCTGATTGAGAATCTTTTTTTCTTTTTGAAACCGAAAACATCATTGATGAATCGATGAAATTTTGATTTATCTTGATTTTCTTGTTGTTGTTGTGATATTTATAGTTTTTTTTCCTGGCTATAAATAATCAAAGAATTAAGCCTTAGTAGTGGTAGCGGTAATTCTGCGATAATTCGGTAATTTTTTTTTTTTTTGATATAAAAAAAAAATTATCCGATTAAACTCAATGAACCAAAGAAAAAACAAAAAAAAAAATGAAAAAAAAAGAATATTCTTAATAAGAATATTCTGTAGTGATTGTGGTGGTGGTAGTGGTAGTTTGTTGAATGATTAATGTTTTTTCCCCCCGATCATTATTTCCATCATCATCATCATCAATTTTATTCAATTAGTTTTTTTTTGTTGTTCTTTGGGTGTTGGTTCGTGAATGAAGTTAGTCAATTTATTTTCTTGGTTAGCCAAAAGCCAAAAGCAAAAAAAATTCTGGAATAATTTTCTGGAAGAAAAAAATGTTGGGCGAAGAAAATCCAATCAACATTTATCATTCGAGCAAACAACCGAAAGAACAACAACAAAAAAAACAAACAAATCAAACATGTTGATTAGAGGGGAAAAGCAAAAATAATAACCGAAAAACGGGAAAATATTAAAATGTCAACCAAAAATCAACCAAAAAAATTCCATTCATTTGCGTCATTCGTTCGTTTGCAAATATTATGATGATTATATTTCCAACAAAAATGATGTCAAATTTCTTAGTAATCATCATCATTATTATCGTAATCATATTATTATTATTATTATCGAATGATTGATTCGATTTGAATTTGGAAAATTTCTCCGGATTCTAATCTATTTTTTTTTTGTAATTGGAAATGAAATAAAGAAAGTGAAAAATTTTCTAAATCAGTTAATCCACTGCTATGTTTTTTTTCGATTACTAATTATTTTTCTTCTTAATTTGGAGGGATTTTCCCGATTAAATCTTTGATAATTTCTTTTTCATTTTGGTTTCTATTTTTATCCATTCCATTTCATTTCATTGTTTGTTTTTTGTTTCGTTCATTTCCACATAGAGAATTTTTTCCGGTTGTTTTTGGGTTCAATTTTGGTTTACAAAGAACAAGTAAACAACAACGGACAAAAAAAATGCCGTTAGCAAATCTGGTCGTACCATGGAATGTTAAACAAAAAGAGGTTTGTGGGTTTTTTTGTTTGTTTTTGAATTTTTGAAATTTTTGAAATTTTTTTGTTCTGTAAATAGATTGCATCATCAAATACACCAAGTCCAGAAGATCCACCATCAACAATAATCAATGATCAATTATTAGATAATCATAATAATGTTGTTGTTGTTGTTAATGATGATCAACAACAACAACAACAACAACAACAATCCAAACAACAACAAAATGCTCAATCAATAATGAATAATGAAGAAACAAATGATAATAATCAACAACAACAGCGACAACAAAATTCAGATATAATGATGATTACAAATATAAATGATACAAAAAAATTATTAACATTATCATCACCATCATTATTATCATCATCGACAACATCGACAACAACAACAACAAGAATTGATGATGATGATGATGATTATCGTCAAATAAAATGTATCAAATCAGAATCATCAATGAAAACATCATCAACAAATTCTGTTACCAACAGTGATAATAATATTGTTACAATGGATATTGAAACCGGTGAAAGAGAATTTGAATTAACAAATATTACAAAAGATGGTTCAACAACAGCAAATCCATCACAATTTTTTCTTATACGTATACTTGGTGAAGGTTCATTTGGTAAAGTATTTTTAGTTAGAAAAATTGAAGGACCTGATGCTGGTACATTATATGCAATGAAAGTTTTGAAAAAAGCTACATTAAAAGGTTTGTGAATTTTTTGCTACTTTTTGTTTTGCTACATTTTTACAAATTTTTTTCTTTTCTTCCCGTTCTCACAGTTCGAGATAAATTACGATCAAAAACTGAACGTGATATATTGGCCGATGTTCGTCATCCATTTATTGTACGATTAAATTATGCATTTCAAACTGAAGGAAAATTATATCTAGTTTTAGATTATTTACGTGGTGGTGATCTATTTACTAGATTAAATAATGAAGTAATGTTTACTGAAGAAGATGTAAAATTTTATTTAGCTGAATTAGCATTAGCATTAAATCATTTACATTCATTGGGTATTATTTATCGTGATTTAAAACCAGAAAATATTCTATTAGATTCGGCTGGTCATATTAATCTAACGGATTTTGGCCTAAGTAAAGAATCATTAAACAATGAAAAATGTTTTTCATTTTGTGGTACTGTTGAATATATGGCACCGGAAATTATATCACGTAAAGGACATACACATGCTGTTGATTGGTGGTCATTTGGTGTTTTAATGTTTGAAATGTTAACCGGTGTTTTACCTTTTCAAGGTCCATCAAGAAAAGAAACAATGCAACAAATTATGAAGTTTGTATCCATTTTTTTTTCTTAGTTGTATTTTTCTAATTGATTTTTTCTCTTCATCTTCTCTCTCTCTATAGAGCAAAATTATCAATGCCACAATATCTTAGTACGGAAGCACAAAGTTTATTACGTGCATTATTCAAACGAAATCCAATCAATCGTTTAGGTTATAGTAATGTTGTTGTTGGTGGTGGTGGTGGTAATGGTCCAAATGATTCAAATGATAATCAAACATGTGCCATACAATTACATCCATTTTTTGCTACAATTGATTTTATTAAATTATATAATAAAGAAATAACACCACCATTTATACCATCATTAATGCCATTATCAAATAATCATTATTTTAGTATTGATTCCGGTACAAATCGACCACCTGAAGGTATAAAAGTATCCTTTTTTTTTGGTTGCCATAATTAATTTTCTTAATTTTTTTTAATTTCAAGATTCACCTGGTCTACCACCAAGTGTTAGTTCAAGGGATTTATTTCGTGGATTTAGTTTTGTTGCACCACAATTAATACAGGAAATGTCATTAAATTCAAAAGATATTTCGGAAACATCAACATCGACATCAACAACAACAACAACCTCGACAACAACAACAACATCATCATCGACAACAACAACATCAACAACAGATACAATCAATACTGGAATCAATACAACCGGTTGGATAAGATCATTAAATGATTTTCAATTTTTTGAAGAATTAGGACATGGTACATATGCAAATTGTCAACGTTGTGTTCATATTGAAAGTGATAAACAATATGCAGTCAAGGTAAATCTGTTTTTTTCCCCATTAATTAATTAACCTTTAATTACAAATCTTCCTTTCAATTTCAATTTTAAAAGATTGTTAATAAGAAAAAACGTGATTGTCGTGAAGAAGTATCAATATTAATGCGTTATAGTCATCATCCAAATATTGTTACATTTTATGATGCAATTGAAGATCAAGATAATGTTTATATATTTATGGATCTAATGGAAGGTGGTGAATTATTGGAAAAAATATTAGCTAAAAAATTTATTAATGAAATTGAATCAAGTGAAATTTTCGAAATAATAACACAGGCAATTAATTATCTACATGAACATGGTGTTGTACATCGTGATCTGAAACCATCGAATATTCTGTTTGCCGATAAATCTTGTCGACCATCATCCATTCGAATATGTGATTTTGGTTTTGCTAAACAAATGCGTGCTGAAAATGGTTTATTAATGACACCATGTTATACGGCTAATTTTGTTGCACCTGAAGTATTACGACGTCAAGGTTATGATGAAGCATGTGATATTTGGTCATTAGGTGTTTTATTATATACAATGTTAGCCGGGTAATTAAGTTTTATTTTCTTTAATTTTGAGATTTTTTTTCTAATAATTTTCTCTTTTCTCTTCCCCCCTCACGTTAATGTTTCAGGAAAACACCATTCACAAACGATCCAAATGATACACCGGAAAATGTTTTACAACGTATAGGTACTGGAAAAATTGATATCGAATCAGGAAATTGGAAAAATATATCCAAATTAGCTAAAGTAATTCTTTCAATAAAAATTTTTCAAAAATGTAGCAAAATTTCATTTTCATTTTTTAAACAGGATCTTGTTACAAATATGTTAGATATGGATCCAACACGACGATTAAAAGCACAAGAAATTTTAAATCATGATTGGATAAAAAAACGTAATGAATTACCACAAACACAATTATTACATGATGATTTATCTATTGTTAAAGCAAATATGAATTTAGTATTTGATGCTATACAAAAACCAATACCATTTTCATTAAATCCAGTTAAAACATCTGAATTAGCAAAACGTCGTGCATTACGTAATACAATTAAATCATTAGAAAATGGTCAATAGATAAACACAAATATTCCATATACTCAACAACCACAACAGCAACAATTCCTGGTGATATTTCATTCAATTGATTTGATTTGATCGATAAAACGAAGCAAAAATCAAATCAAATCAAAACAAAAATCAGTATTTTTTCATATGGCGTTTTCTTACTTTTCCTTCGATCTCATCCCTAAAACATCCAATTCAATGGCCAAATTGATAACCTTTAAACATTTTTCACTTTCTGTCGACCATAAAGTCTTTCTATTAACCTTTGATTATGTTTTTTTATTATTGATTATTTTTCTTCTCAACCTGAATTTTCCCAATTTGCATAATTTCTCTGTTTTTCGATCCGACGCACATACCACAAACGAATATTTTTCTCCAATTTTTGTTGTCCAATGAAAATGAAAAAAATTTTTATTCAAAAAAAAGTTTGTAAATATTTGCACAAAAGTAAAAAAATTGATTATTTTTTCAATAAAATTTTTTTCAAGTTAAAAAAACGAAAAATTTTATCATCATCATCAAAGGTAAATTTACCTGGTTTTTTTTTGCTTTCGATCGGTATGCGCGTGCGACTATAGTCTAAAACGCTACATTTTTCCATTTGAATGTTCCACAACAACAACAACGAAAAAGGGTTGGACATTGGATTCAAATTTCCTCTTACACACATAGAGATCTCTAATCTTCTTCTGCTTGATGCTTTGGTGCTTTTGGTGATGTAAACATCCCAAACAGATTTGAAATCATTTCAATTTTTTCTTTAAATGTTATGTATGGTGTTTGTGTGTTTGGTGAAAGAAGAAAAAAAAAATGAAAAAATTGAAAATTTTTCGTCGAATTTTTCGATTATTACGTTTTCGTCGAAAAATACATAATTTTAATGCTGCTAATAATAATAATGATTACTGTAATGATCAAATCGATGAATCATATTTATTAATACATTATTATGATAATCAACGTTTAGATCGTTTTATTGATCATTATTCAAATGAACAATTTAAACGTTTAATACAAAAAATTGATGATAATTCAGATAAATTATTTGATTTATCCAAATTTGATGATGAAACAATCATACGTATTGATTCAATATATTCACCACGAAAAATTGATTCCATAGAATTATTACAACAAATTCGTTACATACGTTCACGAATGTTGGATAATATTTATGATGAATTTCGTTTAAATCATTATAAATCAATTGATAATATTAAAAAAAGTAATAATTTAACATTTACATTACAAAAATTAATCAATCAAAATGAATTATTAAAATTAATAAGATTATTTGCTGAATATAAACGTTTATATGAAAATTCATTCTATTCATATGATAATTTATATTTGGATTTTATGGAATTTTTTCGTATGATTTTTATCGATGTTTTTGATGAATCCTGGTATGTGTGTATTTTTTTTTTTTTTTTTTTGAATTAAATTTTGCTACATTTTTTTCTTTGCTACTTTTTTATTGATACTTTTTTTGCAGCCGATTGATACAATTGGTTTATCGTAATAATTCCGAATTGAAAAATCTTTATTATTAAAAATCTTCATTTTCTATAAAACAAAGAAGAAAAAAGAAAATCTTATCTGGTCAGTCATATTATCAATGATGGTCAAGCCCGCCTTATCAATCAATACCACACCCGAATGGGAAGGTCAAGAAAATTTTCTTCCTATTCAAATTTCAGTTGTTCAAGAAAACAAAACGCATGCGTATTCATTTTTGATTATTTTCACTTGCCAAAAAAATGTATCCATTTTTTTTGCCAAAAATAAATTCCATTTAATAACCATTTGATTTGATTTAATTGAAAAACCGAATAATTACGGTAGCAAATTGCGGCTTCGACTTGTTTGATTGACTAACTGACTTACTGAATACCGTTACAGTAAAACATCCATTCATTCATTGTTGAAACAAACAAACAAAATTCGAAATCATTTTTGATGTAACGGTATGACGTATGTTTGTATAAATCAAAAGAGGGTGAGATTGAGCCAGTGTATGTGTGTTAGTGTGAGAGAAAGAGTGTTAATAAGTAAAAAATGAATAAAATTCGAAATTCGAAATCATTTCGAAGCAGCAAAAAGAAGAAGAAAAAACCAACAACGTTGGTTTATTTTCGATTTGGATTTTTAAACATCAAAAAAAAAAAAATTTCCAATCATAATCATCATGGAACAATCGAAACCTCGAAATAATCGAAATGATGACAAAAAAGATGATGATAAAAATCTATCGAAACCAGGGCCATCATTATCCAATGATGATTCAAAACCATCAACTTCGAAATCATATTTCGAATCTAAATCCAAACCATTTTTTATACCATTAACTAGATCATCTTCTTCGTCTTCTTCTTCGTCGTCTTCGTCGTCATCATCATCATCATCATTATCAAAATTAATGGATCCTGATTATCAACGACGTCGTCGTAAAAGACATCGTGATTTTCAAATTGCTATTAATACATTATCCGAACATACATTTTATTCATCGGATGAATCAATGTCAACAACAAAAAAAAATTCAACATATTTTGATAATTTAACTAATGAAGATATTGAACGATTATTTTATTTAGCAACACATGATCCGGATGAAATTGATGGACAATCGGGGGTTAAATCAGATCAAACAACAAAAGCAACTGGTAATCAATCAACAACAACAACTATGGTGAATCATGGTGGATCAAAGCCATCATCAAGACCATCAACGTCAAGACCACCACCATTATCACGATCGTCGTCGTCTTCGTCATCTTCATCTTCATTGTCTTCACGATCATCATTAAAATCAAAAGCAAAATTAATGGATCCTGAATATCAAGAACGTCGTCGTAAAAGACATCGTGATTTTCAAATTGCTATCGATACATTATCGAAACATACATTTTATCCACCGAATGAACCAATGTCATCGAAAAATTTATATTCCAATATTTATACTGATGATGATTTTGATCGTCTTTATTATCTATCAACACATGATCCGGATGAAATTGATGAACAACCAGTGACAACAACAACAACCAAAACTGAAACAGGAACCGAAACTGCAATGGAAACTTTAAACGAAATCGAAATGGAAGAAGAAATAGAAACTATAACAGAAATTATGACTAAAGTTATTATGGAAATTGAAAAAGATTGAAATAATCGATAATCGATGTTTGAGATTTCTAATTTTCTTTTTTTTTTGTTCAAATTTGATACATTCTGATGAAATAAAATAAAGATTTTTTAACCAAAACAAAAAACGTCCATCCCATTTATGCAACAAACAAAAAAAATTTGATACAATATTTGAGAGTATCACAGTAGCAAAAATGACGCCCATTTTCTATCTCATCACATCAATAATGATGACACGCCAATGACGCCAACACAAGCCATGCGCCGTTTTTTTGTTTTTTTCTGTTTCCTGATTGGCGCAAAAATGATTGCTTCGCCCATTTTTTTTTCTTTCTTTTTTCTTCGAATGGCGTTTCAAATTTCAGTTTCTTCAAATATCATTTCAGTCCTATAAGAAACTGGAAATAACCTTGTTTTTTTTATGGAATTTTTTCGATAAGTCGCTAGACGATCAACCAAACAACCAAAGATTTGAAGAAATTTTTGATAAAAATTTCTCAAGGTAAAATGAAAAAATCATGGTGGTCCATTGATTTTTTGATTTTAATCGAAAAGAAAAAAAAAATTCGAAAAGTATCCAACCAACAGGAAAAAAAAGTAGCAGCATATAAATCTTATATAAAAAAAAAATTCGCTACAATGCTGTGATGTATCCGATTTGTCTGTCCAAGTGTCTGTCCATAAGTAGACATAAATGTAGCGAACATTATGTTTTTTTTTCATTTTCGATTTTGAATTCGATACAATCACAAAATAATTTTTGTCCCAAAAAAACCTTGAAAAAAAGTATGGATAATTCATCGACAAATCATAATCAAAATGCTGATCAACAACGTAATGAAGATGAAAAAAAACTTGAAAATTATTGTCGTCAAGCTTGTTGTTTGTTGGATGAAATTGGAGCTACAAATTTCCTGTATCAAATAAGACGTATTAAAGATTATGCAACAGAAATTTTTAAAGATTTTCGTTATGATATTGAAAAATCCTATTCAATGATTAACGATAACGATCCTGGTGTTGATGATGATAAAAGTCAAATAAAAACTTCTGGTGATGAATATGATCCTGGTGAAAAGATTACCGACATTGGTGAAGTTATTGATGAATTAACACCTGATGGCGATAATGATGATAAAAATAACGATGGTGGTAGTACTGACGACAAAAATGTTGATAATGTTGAAAATGATTTTTTAAAAGATTTACAAGAAAATTTTGAAAAAAATTTAAAAATTACTAAATCCAATACAATTATCAATGATAAAATGCCATTTGCAATATTATTAATGCTACATAGAATGGCTAAAACATTAAAAGAAGGAATAGAAAAACGTAAGTTTATCATTTATCAATCTAATCATTTTATAAATATTTTTTCCTCCTTTTTTGTTCCAAAACAAGTTTTACAAGAAAAAGATTTAAATATTGATACATTACCGAAAAATCTTCTAAATATCCAGATGAAAATTATGTTATTTGAAGATCAATATAATCAACAAATTATTAATTTAAAATCAAAAATTAATGAAAAATTAATGAAAAAATTTCGTTTCATTCGGTCATTTTTTCAAATATTTCGTAAAGAATTATTATTATTTTTAGATTTTCTAACAACAATCCGTTCGAAAACATTTCCCCAACCAGGACCATTTTATGAACGACATTTATTATTTAAATATTGGCGTGGTGAATATTTGGGTAAAAATTTTCGTCAATATCAATCATTCACACGTATGTTCATTAATCGTATGCATACATTTTTATATTTGATTGAAGAAGAATTGATTGATGGTCATCATACAAAAAATCTAGAACAAGCAGTACGATTATTTATTAGTAATGATGATGATTATTCAATCAACGATGATTTATTGTATCAAATACCAATAATTGATGAAATATTTCATTATGCAAATACTTTACTAAAATTTGAATCTGATAGAGCAAATTTGATTTTAAATGATGATAATTATTTTAATAATTATGGTAATAATGATCATGATCATAATCATGATGCCAACAATAATTATCCATTTTTATTTTCTGATTTAACAATTACAACCGATAATCTTGCTACATGTGGATTTTCATTTTTTGATCCTAAAAGTGATAATGATGATGATAATAATGATAATAATGTGTCAACATCAGTGGCTAATCCTAAAAATTTGGATAATAATGTTCAATCATCTTTTGCTGATCCGAAAATTGCTACAAATGCTGCTGATATTTGTCGTGAATATATTTTTTCCGATTCAGAAAATGATGATGCCCCAGTATCATTTTCTGATCTAAAAAATGATTCATTATTTTCTTTTACAAATTTTAAAAATGTTAAAAAATAATTAATCAATTCAAAAGAATTTTCCCGGATATAAAAATAAAATTAAAAAAAAAAATTTTTTTTTGTAAAATTGCTACATTTGAAAGTAGCAAAAAAATTTTTTTTTCAAACCAGCCTTTGATTGTGGGCTGTCCTCTCATATTACATATACACAGATCAGGCGATTAAAAATTAGGATTATATTTTGCTACATTTACTTTCACTTCTCTCTTGCTATATCAAACTGGTAAGTCATTTTTCGTCTCTCTCTCTCTTGCTGATTATTTCCTATTTCAATTTCAAAAAAATGTATCAAAAACGAATCAAATAGAAATATTCAACAACAACAACAAATAATGATGATGATGGAAAATGAATCCGGAATTGATTTGAATGAAATTTGGTCATTTAATCTACAACAACAATGGCAACAAATTTTAGAAAGAATATCTGATCGTTCATATAATCCATTTATACCATTACCATTTCAATTACCGATTGGTTCGAATAATCCATGGCAACAACAACAGAATAATATCCAATCAACAGCAACAACAACAACAAATTCAATTTGGTCATTTAATAATCAAGATTATGAATTATTTCAATCTCAAGAAAATCTTTTAAATGATAATAATTTTGAAATGTATCAAAATTTGGAAAATTTGTATCCAATTGTTACTGACGATTCAATTTATCATCAACATAATGATAATATTCAAGAACAATATCATTGGAATCCAATTGAAATTGAACAGAATATTTTTACAAATATTTATTTTTATTTAAATTATCCAACTATTATTTTTCCGGTAAATTTGTTCGAATATCAATATTTTGCTACAAATTTGTATCAAAATTCAATGGATTATTATTTCATCGATCGCGAATTCAATTGGATTGAACAATGGTGGAATGTATCGGTTTATCGAAATTTTTTCGATCAATCTGTTGATCATAATGATGATCGATTTATGTTTCAATCTGCTACATTTATTAATGATAATAATCTGATACAGGCTGTTTATTATGAAAATCCACAACAACAACAACAACAACAATCATCGATCGATCAACAACAAACTAATCGATACAATCATCAACAACAACCGGATGATTTTTAAATCAAAAATCGATTATCGAATCTAGATCAAAAGCGATCAACAACAACAACAAAACATCCATATTTGGGAAATCTTCCTGTTTGAAAAATCAAAAATCAAATTTTTTTTGTTTTTGTTTGACTGTCGTTTCCTTGGCAATATTTTTGTTTGAAAAATAAAAAAAATGTTTATGAAAATCAATGTTTAATGATGATGATGGTAAAGGTATGGATGTGAGTTATTTGTTTTGAAAAGAAAATCTTTGCCCAAAAACAACATTACCAATATCAATGGTATATCAGCAACAACAAAAGGGTTAAAGGACAAAAAAAAAGCAGACAAATCGTTATCGTTCATTTCCATTTTGCCGTCTATTTCAATCCATGTTTGTTCAATTCTCATTAACCAAACACACACAAGCACATCGTACATCAGAGACCGATCAACCACCACCAACCAACAACAAAAAAAAACATTGGCTACAAAAACAGATATTTGAACCTGTTGAATAATGTAGCCCTTTCATTTATTCATTTATGGCTGGAAAAGATTTTGCCGACAACTTTGAAGTGAAAAAAAAACCAATTTAAACTTTGGTTCTTTTTTTTCTGTTTGTTTGTTTATTTATTTTATTTTATTATTATGAAATCTAAATCAAAATATTCATTTTTTCATTGCATTTCAGTTCAGCTCATATCAGAATGTATTTTTGTCGTTGTTAATTTGAACACAAAACAACTAAGAAAATAGCATTATTTAGCTAAAGCACCATCAATAAATGATTTTAATTCATCATCATCACGACGACCAACAAATTGATCAATAATTTTACCATTTTTTATTGCAAATATTGCCGGTATTGTTTGTACTTGATATTCGGCAGCCAATTGTTCTAATTCATCAACATCAACTTTTGCTAGATCAACTTTTGTTGATTGTCCACCGATTATTGTTTCTAAACGTGGTGTTAATTGTTTACAAGGACCACACCAACTGAATTGAGAAAAAGGGGAGAGAGAGAGAGAGAAATCAAATTTCAATTTTTCATTTGTTTTCAATCAACTTACGTAGCAAAAAAATCCAAAATAATTAATTTTTTTTGTGAATTTTCTAAAACTTTTTCTTTAAAATCATTTTCATCTTGAATTTTAAATATATCCAAACGTTTTTCTGACAAATAAATTGAACGTGATTGACAATTCAACAACGATGATGATGGTGCTACAATTTTAAAGCTTTGAGCTAAAAATTGATGATTAAAACGTAATAATTTATTCATGTTTTCCAATCGAAAAGATCAATTAAATTAAATTTATTGATGAAAATCGATAATCAAACAAAGGTACCAAATTTGTTACAAAAAATGTGATATCGAAATCGAAATCGAAAATCGAATGTTATTGAGAGAGAGCGAAAAAAACAAACTGATAGCGCCATCTTTCTTTCAGGATTTCACAAAAAAAAAAAAAAAACAAAAAAAAAAATCCACTCTGATAACAAACAAAGGCTGCATATATGCAAGAAAAAAACAAACAAACAAACACTTGTTGTTTTGATTGCATCATGTTTTCGAAATGACAGTTGTAGATTCTCTATGCAATTTCTATTTTTAAAATGTGATTTCTTTTTTTGTGTGATCTCCTTTATTGATTTTGATATCGGTCATCATCATCATTATCATTTGATATTGATTGATGGGTGTTTTCGTCGTCGTCTAAGATTTTCCATTTTCCATTTTGTCTTTCATTAAGTTATTTCTCTGGGATTTTTTTTCAAACAACCAAACAAACTGCCAAAAATTCTGATTCAGATCAACATTTTTTTTCCCTCAAATTTTTTAATGTTTTAAACCACCTTTTTTGTTTTTAGTATTATTGGCTACAAAACAAAACCGAAAATGGCTACAAAATTGGTTCGTTCAAGATTGAATGAACGAAGAGAATGGTTAAAAAAACCATCAATGCAAATTGCATTGATAAAAATATTTGATAAATTTCAACAACAACCGCAACCAAAACAACCAGAATCCGAATCTGGATCAAAAATTGATGATGCAATCAAAATTATTGAAAAATTAGCCAATGCAATAAAATGTGATTTAGAAATTATTGAACCTTGTTTTGAAAATAATTATATGATCAAGTAAGTAGAATATTGCTACATTCGCTAAATTCAACTTTTTTTTTCTAAAATTTTTCTTTCTTTTCATTTATATGTACAGAATACGTGCCAATTTTAATGAACAAACAACATTGGATGATTATAATGATGATAATAATTTTGAAATCAGTAATTTTATTCGTCATTTTTTTATGAATATCAAAACAAATGGTACTATTCTGGAATTTCCATGGAATACAATGAAACAAATTGAAGAAGAAATTTATTCAAATAATCAAAATGAAGATCCATCACAATCATTTACCACTGATTTATATTCATTTTCAATTGGTTCATTATTAAATTTATCAACATTTGTTTGTCATTTAAAATCTGATCATGCATCATATCGTTTAAAAGAAAGTAGAAAAATGGAAATTGATTTTGATAAAAGTAATTTAAATTTTTATTTCAGTGTTAATTATTTAAGGTAAGTTATTGTCAATGAAAATAATAATTTGGTTTTATATTTTCAACAAAAAAAAAACTACTTTATTTTTTTTGTTTTGTTTCGTTTGTTTTACACAAAAAAAAAACACATAGTAGTTATCGTTTGGAAATACGTTTTGATTCGATAAAATATTTAGTCGGTGATAAAAATTATAATTCTGGTACAAGATTCTATTTGGAATTAAATGCAGCACCATTCCTTTATAAATTGAATGGTAAATTTTATGAACGTATTGCTGATTTTTCAGCTAGTTTTGCATTTTCAAATCAACGAAATGATACAGATTTATTGGGCAATGCATTATCATATCAAATTGAATTATTTGATTCGGATTGTAAACCATTTTCAACACTTTGTACACGATGCAAGGAAAAAAATCGTAATTTTCAATTTTATATTGGTTTAGTTAATGTAATCAATCAATCTGATCATAATTCATTTACAATGAAACAATCATATGATTATGTTGATCAATTTTTTTCGAAAAATTTTCGTATCAATTATGCTTGTCGTGTTTTATTATCAAAATCATATAAGGTATTTGTTGTTTGAAAAACACAGAAAATTTCACAAATGATAATCCTTTTCTTCTTCTATTTTCAAACTAGATAATCGATTATTTGGGATCAGATTTACCTAAATTTTTATTACGATTACAAACAATGAGTGAAAAACAAGATATTGAACAATCATTATATAAATTAAGTTTACGTTGTGATAATATACTATATGATATTGAACAAGATTTTAAACATATACTTGAAGATGGTAATCAAAAATCATTAAGTGATTCGGTAAATGAATCCGTACATGTTATGATACGTAAAGCAATACTGACACCAACACGTTTAGAATATTGTCGTCAAATGCCAATGTTACGTTCACGTTTTAGTAATATGGCAAATTTAGATTATGCCATCAGGTTTTTATTAAAAGAAGATAATAATGGTGTATTGAATTCAGCATCACCTGATATAATACTATTTTTAAAAAAAATATTTGGAAAAAAATTAGAAAATGGTTTTATGATTTGTGATCGTGATTATCAATTTTTAGGTGCATCACCAAGTCAAATGCGTGAAAATGGTATTAATTTTTATGCTGAAGATGATGAAAAACGTACTGCATTAACCATTATATCGAATGCTGGAAATTTAAGTTCATATTCAAAAAATCCATCAAAATTAATGGCAAGATTAGGTTTAATATTTTCACAGGCAATCATCTATTATGATATTTCAAATATGGAACGTGGTAAAATTGATGATATTAAATCTGAAGATGGAAAATATTGTTTTTCCGATGGTTGTAGTATTATTTCCGATAATATTGGTAATGAAATTGGTAAAAATTTACCAAATTTAAATGGTTATATACCATCTGCATTTCAATTTCGTAATGGTGGTCATAAAGGTGTATTGGTTAGTTATCCAATCCCTGAAAATAATATATTGTTTCGTGCCAGTCAGATAAAATATTCGGCAAAAGATCCTAAACTTGGTATTTTAAATTATTCATATCCACGTTCAGTTTATTTATGTCGTCAATTAGTTAATATATTAAATCAATTAGGTGTTGGTGAACGATTATTTAAATATTTTAATCGTGATACTGAAATTATAATGAAATCAATGTTAACTAATGATGCTGCAATGAATTTATTGAAAAATTATCAACATATAAAAATACCATTTGAAAAAATGATGGACGCAGGATTTTCATTGATTGATGAACCATTTTTACGTTCATTATTACAACATGTAATGATATTTCGTTTACAAGAATTACAAACCAAAGCTCGAATGAAAGTATTTGAAACAAATGGTCGTTCTGCATTTGGTGTTATTGATGAAACAAAAATATTGAATTATGGTGAATTATTTTTTCAATATAGTATACTGGATAATGATGGACAACCAACTGGTGAAACAAAAATACTTGAAGGTGAAATTATGGTTACAAAATTTCCATGTACATCATTAGGTGATGTTAGAAAATTTAAAGCAATCAATACGGAAAATTTAAAACATATAAAAGATTGTCTGGTATTTCCATCGAAAGGAAAACGACCACATACAGATGAAATGGCCGGTTCTGATTTGGATGGTGATGAATACGCAATATTTTGGGATAATGAATTAATATTTTCGGGTGAAAATCATGAACCATTAAATTTTGAAAGTTACACAAGACCTGATTCATTAAATATTGTTACACAAAAAGATATGATAAATTTTTATCTTGAATTTGCTACCGAATCAAATTTAGGTCGTATTGCAAATTGTCATTTAATGTTTGCTGATTTTCATCCAAAAGGTTTATTATCCGATGAATGTATTGAATTGGCTAAAGAATATAGTAAATCATTAGATTTTCAAAAAAATGGTATCAATGCAAAACTTGAAAATGAATATAAATCCGATAATCGTTTTATACGGCCAGATTTTATGACTAAAAAAGAAGTTAAACATAATTATTATTTATCGAAAAATATTTTGGGTGAATTTTTTCGTCAATGTTGTTTAATTGATAATATTATACAAAATACTGATCGTTTATCACCAGATTTACAAGAATATGTTGAACCGGAAAAAAAATTAATCATACCTGAATGGATCAAATATAAAAATGAAGCAATGGAAGCATTTAAAGAATATTATAATCGTATTGTTGAAACAATGGAAACATTAGGTGTTGAATCAGAAGCAGCATTTCTTACTGATTTATTTGATAAACGACCCGAAGTAACAACATTTTTATCACGTGATTTATTTCGACATATGCAAGAAATTTTTGATAAACAATTATTAGGTAAAAGTAAACGGCAAAAAATTATTCTAATATCAGCATGGTATGCTATTTGTTTTGAAAAATCAACATTATTACAATATCATTATAAACAACGGCCATTGCTTGGCATGCCGTTTATGTTATCGGATAAATTAATTGAATTAGCATATTATGTTGATTTGAATATGTCGGTAACATTTTCGAAAAAAATTCAATCAACGAAAGATAATTCAATATTATTTAGATATGATGAATTTTTAGATCAATCAACAAGATTCATATTGAATTGGATGGAAAATTTTCATAAAATATTTTTTAAAAATAAAATAACATTTGATAAAATTTTAGTGAAAATTGGCGGAAATGAAGAAATTTCATTACAATTATTTCTTGGTCGTCATATAAAAGTAAGTCTTGTAATTAATTAATTAATTAATAATTTTACAAATTTTTTTACAAATTTTCTTATAAAAAAAAAATAGAATATTCTTGATTCGATTGCTGAAAAAAATTCATTAAAAAAACAAGATAATAAAGAAAATAATTATCAAGATATTTTCCTATTGATTGATGAATTTTTTCGTCATTTACATTATCTTTGTAATGAAATTAATACATATATAATTGAATCAAAATTTGAACAAATATTATTGTTACCATATGCATTATATGCATCAAGATTTATTGGTCATATTGGTTCATTTATGAATATTAATGATTATTCGATTACAAATAAACAACAACGAAAAATTACAACTAAAAATGAATTTATTGCTGAAACAATTAAACATATAAAACGTTTATTCAAAGATATTAATCTACGTAGAGAAAGACTTTATTATAATTTTCATTTTTCAATTTTAGATAAACGTTTAATTCAATTATTTAATAATAATTCATCGGTAGGTTATTTATAAAATTTTGATTTACAAAAAAAAATAATAATAATTTACAACATTATCAGAATAATAATGATAAATATAAATGGCAAATTTTCGTCGGCGGTTTAATTGATTATCAACCATTCATCAAAAAACAACAACAACGAAATAATAAAAATGGAAAAAAAATAACCGAATTTGGTTGGAATTTGAAAAAATTTCAGATAAATTTTTTAGAATTAAAAACCAAAGGTTTAAAACCATCAATATCATTGTTTCAATTGTATTTAGGTAATCCACATTTTTATGATAATATTTTTTTAAAATTTTCATTTCGTCAAATTAATTGTTGATTCATATCTGGACCAAACAAACAAACAAACAACCATTGCATTTTTTACCTGGCTTTCTCTTGCTTTTCATTTTTCACTTTTTTTTTTTGTTTTCAAACACAACAAACATATTTGTTTTTTTTAAAAAAACGTTATAATTACAAAAAAAATATATTTATCCATCCAACATTTAATACAAAAAAAACAAACTTCTTTTTTGCCACCATTTTTGTTTCTTTCTTCCTTTTCCTTTCTCAACAAACCAAATAATGTAAACAAAACAAAACAAAAAAATTTTGTTGTTTAATAAATAAATATATATGATTCAATTGATCTGATTGAATTTAATTGTTATCAAAAGAAAAAAAATTGATGATGAAAAATTGATGATGAGAAACATGGAAAATTTTATGGAAAAGAAAAAGATTACAATAATTCTCTTCGAATATCAAATTATAAAATGAAATTGATTGATGGTTTTTTTTGTTTGGCTGATGATAATGATGATGATGATTATAAAATTAGAATCTTAATGAAATTGGTTAGATTGTTTTGTTTCAGTTCACCACCCGAATAAAATAAAAATGAAAATGAAATCGGATCATGTTGATATAAGTAATAAATTTTTAAGAAATGACCAAAAATGCATCAAAGCTTGTTGTTGTATATCATTTTGAACAGCTTGTGATTGTTGTTCAACTAAATCTCTTGGTAATTTTGTTTTTAATGATTCTTGTAATTTATTCCAATAGCTTGTTGATTCACCATTGTATGTATCATTAAATTTGATAAATTTTTGATGTACAGCAAAATGTGCCGCTAAAACACGCTATAAATTTAAAGGAAGATAGAAAAAAAAAATAAGATTATCAACTTTGACCAACAACAACAAAAAAAAACAACTTACCATTTCAACAAGTAAATCTTGTGTAAGGAATGCATCACGTGCAATTTGATATGAAATTTGCATTGGTCGACCAATATTACGATTACCCATTGTAAATATTGGCATTACCCAAAACATTTGAAATAATGTTGTTAATTTTATATCATCATTATTATTATTATTATTATTATTTGAATAAAATGGTGAACAAATTAGACCAACACATGGTGAATAATCACGTACATCTTTTTTTGTTGCTAACATTTGTTTCTGATATTTTAGCTGTCGTTTTATATCGGCAATAGATGGATGTGGTGCAGTACGTGGATGACTATGATACCAACCAACCAATATTAAACCTTTTTGTACAAGATTTTGTTTAATTTTCAATGTACATGAATCAAATTCTTTTGATGATTTACATCGTAATGGAAATGCCTGTGTAATTGTTAAATGTTGTGTACGTGGATCCCATAATCCAGCTAAATAACCATTAACTTCAGTTGAAATTAAATGTGAATGAAAATCAATCAATAATAATACATTTGTTGAAATAGTAACTAAAAATGGTTGTAAACAAAATACTGAATTAAATGGTACACAGGCAATTTTTGTACGATCATCAAGATTAAAATCTTTGTTATTTAAATCGATTGAATTAAAATTGATAATATTTTCATTTGGATTATTTTCCAAAATAGATATTTCCGGATCACCAGCACTTATTTTATCCAATTTATAAAGTCGATCTAGTCGATAATAATTCAATGAAACAAGAAATTTGAATTATTTTTTTTTAGAGTAAAAAAACATTTTTTTTCAAACCATATTTACCTCGATTAATCATTGAATAAATATTTTTATATTCAACATTACTACGTGATTGTTGATATTGTTGATGATGTTGTATTGGTGTTGAAAAATGATTCGGTAAAAATGATGAATGTTGTTGTTGTTGTTGTTGGGTAATAGGAGTAAAATTTCCATTACTATTTATATGTGAAAATTTATTACTATTATTTGAAAATGATGATATTAATGTTGATGGTGATGTAATTGTTCCATCAATTGTTGTTGTTGCAGTTGTTGTTGATAATGATGTATTACCGATTGGTGTTAAAATTCCTGTTGCTGTTGTTGTTGCTGCTGCAGTTGTTGTTATTCCATTATTATTATTATTATTATTATTGATTATTTTACCGGTTGGTGTATTATTTTGATCAATATTGATTGAAATCGGAATACTGTTATTATTATGATGATGATTTACCGGAGTATTATTACCGCTACCGATAACTGTAGGTGTATTAACTGAACAATTTTGTCCATTTATTATTGTACCACCTAATGTAAATTGTTTTTTCTGTTTACGATACCAACGTAATTTATATGAATCAAGACGTTTACCAAGATATCTAATTATTGACCATGCACTACCATAATTTTTATGATCTTTACTTGTTGATGGTATTGTTGAACGACAATAATTTGCCCATGAACTTGGATTAGCAAATACTTGATTTGTACCGGACATACGAATAAAACCATTTGCTAATAGATCACCGAAAAATTTTGCACCCTAAACAAAAAAAAATGAAATGAATAAATAGATTACGATAGTAAATCATTATTATAAACAAACCAAAATTTCATATGTTAATGATCCATCCATTGGTTCTAAAATACCATCATCAACTAATGTTTTTAAACTACATGGTGGACCATTTAATGGTTTACGACCAACATGTGTAATAACTTGTGGTATGGATGAAATTTGTGAATTGTTTGTTGCTGTTCGAGATGATGATGTTCGTGATGATGATGTTGTTCGAGATGATGTCGATACAATATTAAACATTGGTTGTTGTGATGCTAATGATGATACTGAAGATGATGATTGTGTTGTTATATTTGTTGCATTTGTTGTTGTTATTGTCGATAATGGATCATCATTATTCATTATTGATGATGATTGATCATCATCACAACCACTTTCACTTTCAGCAATTGAATCATCAACCATCATATCCATTGTTTCTTTATCATCATCATCATCATCATCAATATCGTCTTCGTCTTCATCGTCGTCGTTTGAATGAAGAATCATCAAAGATGTTTTAGTTTCATCTTCTTCATCTTCATCATCATCCATCATCATTTCAGGATAATTATTGATAATCATTTCATCATCTTCATCATCATCATTAATATTGTCAATAGCATCATCATCATCATCAATATCATCAAATTCATTATTATCATCATCATTATTACCATTATTTTGAATAGATTCTGTTGGATTTTGTTGTTGTTGATCTAATTCATCGATTGGAATAATATTTTTATCAGAAATTTGTTGTTGTTCTTCATTATCAATTTTTTGTTGTTGATCATCATCATCATTATCATTTACAACATTCATTACATTATTATTATTATTATTAATCTGATCGGATGATTGATCAGATAATGATGATGAAGTCGTCGATTTTGTTGGTGATAAATTTGTTGTTGCCGTTGCCGTTGATGAATAGATCAAAGCTTTTTTAAAATGAACCATATTTGATTTTTGTTGTTGTTGTTGTTTTTGTACATTATTATTACTATTATTGATTATCGATTCGTTCGATTCAAGATTAATATTATCAATATTTTCTTGTTTCATTTCGGTTGATGATTGTAATTCCGGTTCTTTTGATTCATTGTCAATAATTTTTTCTTGAAAATTATCTTCATTATTGTTGTTTTCATTATTAATTATTGATGAAGAATTTGATGTTGTAATTGTAATGCCTGGAAATAAGGCCATTGATTCGGTTGATTGTTGATCATTGTCATCATTAAATTTGTCACCACTACTACCACCACCACCATCACCATCATCATCATTATTTTTATCGGTGATTTTTGATGATGTTGTCGACATTTTTTTTTATATTTCGGTTAAAATTTGCCGGTTTGATTTCATATAGGTGAAAGAAAGAAAATTGCGCCAAAAAATTTTGAAGATTTTCTTCTTCTGAAGTTTTTGCTGTTGATGATTAAAACATTGTTTTTTGTTTCTTGATCTTCAATTTAATTAACCATTATTGAATTTGTTTAAAAGAATTTGGTTTTATTTATCTAATTTATTATTTAGATTCATCATTCATTCATTCATTCATGCAATTTGATGAAATGATAAATTTTTTTTTTTTTTTTTTTTGCCAACAATTTTGTCAAACACACACACACAACACATATATATTTTGGTAACAAAAGAATAATTTTCATTCGAACTATTCGGTTGATTACCACTACCACCCAAGAAATGCTATACCACACCTGGTATTTTTTTTTCTTGTTTTTTTTTCTCGACGATAATACCACTAGCATTATGGGTACAGTATTTTATTGACAAAAAAATTTTTTTGTTCTGAATATATTCACCAAATAGGATTTTTTCAATCATTATCGATTTGGGCAGATATCCTGTAAATAACCAGATTTTTTTGTTTGTTTGTTTCGCTGTTGTTTTAGTGGTAATCATTTTTCAATTAAAAATTATACCACTACCTCTTTTTGTTTTCGATTACGCGGCTATCCATAAATAAAATGTATACATTTTCTTTCGAACGCCACATTGTGAGCCATAAATTAAAGAATTCCAAATTCCTGGAAATTTGTTTTTTGTTTTTTTTGTTTTAGTTTTTTTTTGGAATTCTGAACATTCCGTTTTTTTTGTTTGTTTTATTCTACATCCCGAAATACTTTAATCAAGCAAAAACAGAATCCCAAAATAAAATGGCTGAATAAAGAAAGAAAAATTCCATCATTATCATCATCATCATTGTCGTCGACAACAAACAAACAAACCAATAAAATTAATGAACAAAAACTATCAAAAAAAAAAAATTTTTGTTTCTGAAACCTAGCTGTGATCAATTTGTCCAAACAAAACTAAACCAAAAAATTTTCCCTATTCCTTCCATATTTATAAAGTGTTTTTTGTTTTGCTTTTTTTTTTACTTTCGACCTTTGGAATCTATTTTCATCTCTGTTTATCTCTCTCCCAATCATATCATTGTTTCTGTTTTGTTTTGTTGCCCCAAACAAATGATTCGAAACAAACAAGAAATTCATCATCATCATATCATATTGATGGTTTGTAATTTTTTTTTTACATTCGTTTTATTTTTGTAAATAATTTTATTTTTAAATTAATTTAGCCATTAAAATAACAATGTCCGTTTTAAATAACAATAATAATAATAATAATGGCCAATATGGTATTATTAATCGAAATGGTGGTCATCATAATCATCATCATCATCATTTTTATCATCATCCAAATCAATATTTATCGCAATCGCAACAACAACCAATAAATACCTCATCATCATCATCAACAATACAATCAAAACAATTATGGAATAATAATTATAATAATGTGGATAAATTTTCATCGAAAGATGTCATTATTAATTCGAATAACAACATTAATGATAATCGAACAATTTGTAATGGAATGAATAAATTTTCACAACAACAACAACCATCATTATTATCAACAACAACAAAATTTCAGAATATAAGATCATCACAACCAAGCCATAATAATATTTCAAATAATTCATCATCGATAACAATTGCTGATAATCAAAATTCTAATGATAATTCATCATCATCATTATTAATAATCAATGATTGTATTGCCAATGATAATAATAATGTTGATAATGATAATGATGGTCATCAAATTATTAATGATAATCATACAATGCCATTACCAAATGATTGGGAATTAGCTATTGATCCGGAAACTGGACGAAAATATTTTGTTAATCATAATACAAAAGAAACACAATGGTTTGATCCACGTGATGTGTAAGTGATTGTGATTTTTTTCAATAATTTTTTTCCAAAAAAACGATTTTTTTTCTCATATCAATATAGCTATACAAAACCGGCAACATTTGCCGATTGTATTGGTGATGAATTACCTGTCGGTTGGGAACAGGCAAATCATCCATTATTGGGTAATTATTTTATTGATCATAAACGACGAATCAATCAATTAGATGATCCAAGAATTGAATTATTAGCTGTACAGGCAAATATGGTTATTGGTTATCTTGAACAGGCTAGTATTTTAAATGATAATGAAAATGAAAATGAACGTGAATCATCAACACAACAACAACAACAAGAACAGCAACAAATTTATTCAAATACAGAATCTATGATCGCTGCTGCTGCTGCTTCAACAACTAATCAATCATCATCATCAAATGAAATGACCAATAATAATATTCCAATTGAAAATGATTATATGAATCGTAATGATTTAGCATTAGCTATACAGAATATACAAATTGATGATTTATCGATTAATAATAATAATAATCATAATAATAATGATATTGATCAATATCAACAGCAGCAACAACAACAACAAATGATGACTACCTCAAATACATCCAATAATAATAATAATCGATCAACCAATAAGATTAATTTACAATTTGATGAAAATTCAGCATATGCTGTTATTGATTGTTATTCAATACAACAAAAACAATTAAAAAAACAAAATGATGATATTGTTGATAATTATGCTAATCTTTCATTATATAATAATATAAAAATGATGAATATTAGTCAATCAAATATTGATACAATTAATGATCAATCGACAACAACAACAGGTATTTTACCACCAGCATTACCATCAATACCACCACCAATATCATCAATACGATCAGCAATATCATCACATTCAATTGGAAATAATTATTCAAATAATAGCCGTACATCATCAATACAATCATTAATTGTTATACCTAGCCATAATAATAATAATCATTATGGTCAATTATCACAACAACAACAATCATCATCAATAATAACAACAACAAATCAACAATATAGACAAAATCCATTATTATTACAACAATCATTAAATGAAGCTAAACAACGTGTTGAACAATTAAAACGTGAACTTTGTCAACAATCATCATCATCATCATCATTATTATTATCAACAACAACATTGCCAACAACAACAACAAATAATAATAATAATAATAATTTTATACAATCATCATCATCACCACCAATATTACTGCCATCATCATCATTATTAATTAAAGAATCAAATACAGTGCCAACAACAGCAACAACAACAACAACAATAATGACCAATAATAATAATGATCATAATCATAATATATTATCAATTATTGATCGTTATTATACAAAAGATGGTCAAAAACATACAAATGCTATTGAAGTTTAAAAATGCATTTTACATTTTTTTATTTTATTTTAAATCTCAACTTTTACACACACATACACATTCCTTTTTTCTAATATATTTTGTTTTTTTTTAAATTGAAATTATTATTTTTTTTTTTTTTTTGCAAATAAAATGTGCCTTATTTATTTTATACCTTTACATTGAAAAGAAATAAATTTTCTCGAGTACACACAGCGTATGTACGTTTTAAACGTACAAAAAAAACAAAAAAAAAAACGTAAACGTAAACGCAAGGATAAAAAGGATTTTTGTTTTTTTTTTTTTTTGATTTAATCACATTTACGAATTGGATTTTTGTCGTCGTCGTCGTGGTCGTGTGAAAGACACGCTGTTTTTTTTCGCTACTTTTGCTGCTTTTGCTACTTTGCTCATCACTTCACTCATTTACGAAATAGCGCTCACTCGATGTGCGTGCGTTGAATTTTCTGTTTTTCTTTTTCCAGTTTTTTCTGGATTTGTTTCGTTTGTTATTGGCAATCAATTTTTTGTTCGTTGTGTTATGTGGTGATCATCATCATTGCCATTCATTCATTCATTTTGTTTGTTTGTTTATCCATTTGGGATCCATTTTTTTTTCTCTCGTTTCGTTTATGTGAGCGTTTTTTTTGTGAGTTGTATACGTGGTCGTTTCATTTTCCATTTTGTGTTTACGCGTATTTTTCAACTGATTCTTTCAAAATTCTTCAGTTTTTTTTTCTCTAAATGAATCTTCTTTCTTTGTGTTAAAAACTTTTTACGAATTTAAAGAATCAAAACGATAAACGAATCGTTGTGAAAAGAAAAAGAAAATCAAACAAACAAAACAACAATGATAATTTGTCATATGAATCGTATTTCAAATCTACAAAATTTTACTGAAAATTTTTCGCTAAACGATAATTTTATACGAAAAAATTATCCACAACATCAAGATTATAATAATAATAAAAACCTAGACCATAATAATGGTCATTTGGATTATCAAAATTTTATTACAAATTTACAATTTTTTCATTATAAAAACATTCATTTACAAAATAGGCTTCAATTACAACAACTATAATAACTATAATTACATAGGATAGATAGATATTTGCCACGTATTTAAAGTTTTTCTGTTTTCTGTTTTAATTTATTGAATTTACAAATTATAAATTATTATTATTATTAGTTGTAGTAGTAGTTTATAAATATCTCTTGTTACAAACGAAAATTATCAATTTTTTTTCTTGTTTATCTATCGATATCATCAACAAAACGATAACGATAACAACAACATTTGAACTTTTTTTTTTAAATCTTTTTCTCAGTCAGTGTTCTTGTGTGTGTGCCTATTCAAATTCTTCTTTTTTTTCAAAAATTTTCAATTTTTCAAAAATGGGTCGATCATCGAAAAGCAACAGCAACAAATCCCGACAACAAAAATCGGAAAAGAAATCAAAATCATTGAAAAGTAAGTTCGTTTTCTGTTTAAGTTTGTTTGTTTGTTTGTCTTTGAATTTTGTTTAACTAATTTTTTTTTTGTTTCAGATTATCCCACATTATTAGGAGGTGAACAACAAATGTTAAATGATTCAATAATATCGGATACAGATTCTTTATTTAATGATGCATCATCGATTGTATCGATTAATTCAAATTTTTCGACAAATCGAAAATATCAAGTATCCGATGATGGTATTGTTAGCGGTCAACAAAGTCCTGATTACATCGAAACAAATGATGATAATACAATTATTTCAACAACAAATTATGAAGATTCAAATAAAAAATTAACACCAATCGATGATACATTAGCCAAATTATCGGATATTTTAGATGAATTATTAATTTCAAAACGTAAATCAAATCGTCAAAATCATTTAGATTCATTGATAAAAATTTTTCAAACAAAATTTATTGGTATTTATTTGGATAATCGGTAAGTGTTGATTGATTGATTTTTGATTGATTAATTTATTGAATTTTCATTTTTCATTATTGTGATAACTAGAAAAACAACATTACAACAAATAATTGAATCTGGTTTAAAAAAATTTGATGATGATACTGGTTCAATTGCATTATTATTAACATTAACAATCATTACTATTGGAAATGAATTTAATGATCAATTTCAATCATTATATAATCTTTTATTGAAAATTATGATTGATCCATCAGCTAAACCATCCGTACGATCAAAAGTAGCCATTTCATTAAGGTATTTTTAAATTAAAGTTTTCCATTAACAAAAATCTTACCTTTCTTTTCTTTTCTTCTCGTCCTTAGTATTGGATGCTTTATCACTGATTTTGGTGATGAAAAAATTGATGAAATTCTTGATTATTTACTTTCAATTGCATTAACCAATGTACGAACTAGTGGTGGTCAATCATTAATTTCAAGCCAATTAACCGAAATTAATGCATTCAAAGCATTATGTTTAAATTTATTTACATTTCTATCAACTATTGCTGATTTTGATTATGTTTGTCAATTAATACAACAAGATATCAATAAACTAATCAAATTAATGGATTCTATTGATTTGGATATACGTTTATCAGCCGGTACAACATTTGCATTTTTATATGAATTCTATGATAATAATGATCAAGAATTTGATATCTATAATCTACAAGATTTAAAAGATAAAATAATGAAATTATCAAATGATTCAAATAAATCACAATCGAAAAAAAATTTACGTGTACAACGATCAGAATTTCGTGATATATTACATACTATTGAAGGAAATGAATATGAAATGGAAATAATAAAATTTGGTTATGAACAACTTGATATTGATTCATGGCGAATGAAAATTTATTATGATATTTTTTGTTCAATATTGGGTTCAGGTATGAATATACATTTGGCACAAAATCAAACATTACGTGATATTTTTGAATTGGGTTCAGTTTTATTGGATAAAGTATTGATTAGTCGTGATACACGAATGAATGCTGTAAGTTTTCTGTTTTCTGTTTTGATTCAATTTTGATTAATTTTTTTCTACCTTTTTTTATTTGGTAAAAATTAGAAACAACAACATGTTACTAATCGTAAACAACGTGAAATTAGTCGATCAAAAATGCGTGGTAAACGTGGTGATTTTGATTATTGATCATGTCCATCCGGGGGATTTGGCTTTTCGTCGTCGTCGTCATCGTTTTGAAAAATTTTTGATTTTTTTTTCTTTTCTTTTTCTCTTTGTTTGATGTAAAATTTATTCTTTTTCAAAATAAATAAATAAATAATTCAAGGCTATCAATTTTTATTCAATTTTCTTAAAGGAAAATTACAGAATTTTTGATTTTGCAAATAAAAAAACATAACATAACATAACATAACATAATAAACAAGTAAACAAACAAAAAACTCTGGATAAACTCTCTCCTTTCTTCTTCTTCGTTAAAAAAAACTCAACATTTTGATTTTTGATTTTTGATCATTTTTTTCAAGATAAATTAACATCATCATCATTATTGTTACGATTTTCATCAGGATTTTGTAATGAAAATTTTGTTGGTCTTAAATAGTTGCCATATTTTCTTCCAGGTCTAATTTTTGCTGGTACTGTATTATCCAATTCAGGTGATAATTGTTGTTGTTGACCAGTTGTTGTTGTTGCTGATGTTGTAATCCTTTGATCACTATTATCATCATTATTATTTTGTTGACCATAAGAAATTTTTGGTATAAATATTTGATCAATTTGTTCAGAAATTGATAATATTATATCATTAAATTCTTCCGGTTTATCAGCATAAACATGATGACCAGCACCTTGTATAACATGTATTTCTACTTGTTCAATATTTAATTTTGATCTACGTAATTGTTGATTATGAAGACCATCCAAATCCATTAAATCATCATCATGATCACTATTTTCATCGGATGAATTTAATATTAAACGTGGATGATTACCAACACCAGTACCACCAGCAGCACTACCGGATTTAGTTGCTAAAATATATTTAGCTTGTAAACCAGTTTGACGATCAATCCATGAACGTGATCCATATATAAATGTTAATGTTATACGTGGATCTAAATCTTGTATACGATCCAAAATTGGTAAACGTGCCCAACCAGTAGATGTACAAAGTTTTTTGAATGCAATTTCACCACTTGGTCGTGATTGTGCATTACAATGATAAATATAATTAAGAAAAACACAAGGTTCATCTTTTTGTTTATTTTTCGACGATAAATGTTTATGTGATGGTTTACCATTTTCATCCATTTGATTATCTTCCATTGAATCTAATTCATCTGATGAAAGTTCATCACTACTTTCTAATGGTGGTGGATTTTCAGCTTGTTCAGCAACAGAAAATCTTTTCCATGGTAAATAATCTGAACCTTTAGTAAGACGTTCAAATTTATATTTAATATCAGCACGTGCTGTATGCAATAAAAATGGTCCCCATGGACCAATTGCTCGTAATAATGATAATGGATTAAATATATCCAAAAACATACGACCAATTAATTTTGCCCACCAAGGTAATTGTCTTGTTGTTATATGACCAGAAGCAGCTAAATGACGAGATTGTGTTTCAGGTGGTATACCCCATGCATCGGCTAATATTATATGTGCAACATGACTAGGATGTTTTAATGCATAAGCCATTGCAATATAGGCACCAAATGAATGTCCTAATAAAATAAATTTTTTCGATAATGGTTCACCAATAGTTTGACGCCATTTTTCCAAACATTCAACATAATAACTTTCCATTTGTTCGGCTTCAGCTTTGATTCGTTGTGTTTCAGTTAGATTACGTGGAAAACGTGGTGATGGAAATCTTGGTCTTGAACTTTTAGCAAAACCTAATAAATCGAATGCAAATATTTGACGATTACCACGTCTTGCTAAATCATCTAAATTTAATGCCCATAATCCAATACCGGCAGCAAATCCATGTATCATAACTAATGGTAAACCAGGCAATTTATTTTGTTGTGATGATAAATAATGTTGATTCTTAACTAGACCAACTTGTGGTAATAAATCAGGGGGTTGTTGTTGTTTTTGTTGTCGATTTTCATCATCACTACTTGTCATTACATCATTCATTGAATCGGGTTCAATTTCCATAGTCCATATACGAACATGATCTAAATCCCAACGGCTACCAATATCAACATAATAAGTTTGATAATTACATTTAAGATCTGAAAAACAAAAAACAATTGGTTAATTCAATTTTCAAATTAAAAACATGAAAAATCATCTTACAAGAAAGAACTTTATCTTCAGCTTCATCCAATTCTTCGGTTGATGTTGGACACCAACGAAATAATTTCCTAATACGTCTTTTCATTTTCCAAATTAATGAAAATATTGTTGTTAATTGTGTCCAATCAAATATTGTCTGTATAATTGGTTTGATTAGTATATTTAACATTGTAGGTTTTGTTATATTTAATGGATCAAATAAATCATGTCGTTGATGATTGACATGATGTTGTTGATGATGATTTGGATGATTACAATGTCCATTATTATTATGATGTTGATGACAACTACGTGATTGTGAATGATGTCGACGAATTGATGATGAACCACCACCACTTGATGATGATTGTCGATTCGACGATGATGATGATGGATATATTAATGAAATAGAACGTTGTCTACGTTGTCTTTCTTGATCTAATCGAATACAACATGGACATGAAGAATCCGTAGTTGTTGTTGTTGCAGAAGGAGACGACGACAATTTAGTCGCCGATTTCCAAAAACTTAATAATTGTCCCGTGTTTGATTTTAAAGGTATCGTTCCCGATAAATTACGGAACGATTTTTTTGATTGTTTTGAATAACGATTTAATGTTGTTGGTTGTTGTTGTTGTCGATCTAAATTATCACCACATGAAATTGATCGTTTTATTGTTGAATCCAAATATAATTCATTTGGATAATGTCTATTAGAATTTTTCAATAATTGTTGCTGTTGATAATGCCAGAAACGAAATAAATTCAAATATCCGAATAATAATGATCGATAATGATCAATACCTAAATAATTTACAATAAATGCCATAATCATCAGATAAAATTGTAATAATGATATGAATAAATTAAATATTATATAAAATAATAGATAAAAATAATGTAAAAATGTAAAAATTGGTAAAAAAATCCATTTTAACAATAATATTGTTATTTGTTTAACACTAATCAATGTTAATGTTGTTATTAATGTCCAACGTATTAATGAAAAATTTATAAAATCTGGTTGTTGTTGTTGTTGTCGATGTTGTTGTTCATAATAATAATCATAATTATTATCATAAATATAATCTTCAGGATGATGAAATGAATGTCGATGATGTATAAATGATGAACGACGATTTAATGATATTTTTTGATTTTTATTAATTTGTTGTTGTTGTTGTTGTTGTCGACGATATAAATCATAATATGTTTCATTTGGATTATAATTTACAATTGGACGATTATATTCATCATCGGCATCATTTTCATCATAATTTTTTGGTTGTTGACGACGAATTGTTGAACGTAATACACTTGATGGTGATGAATTTGATCGTCGTACATTTGTTGTTGATTTTTGTTGTCGATCGATATATGAAGAAGACATTTTTGCTTTGTTTTTTTTCTCTCGCAAATTTCAAATTCAAATCAGAAAAAAATGAATTTCGCCAGTCAAGAATCTTGTGGTTTTTGCTTTGGTTCTGTTTATGTTTGTTTGTTGTTTATTATTATTATTTATATATAAACATCATATTTTTTTTACAAATTATTAATCAACATTTGTAAAAGAGAGACAGTTTTTGTTGTTGTTGCTGAATTGATTGATAATAAATTTCACACACACAGAGACAAATAAAAAAAAAACATTGATTAATCGTATGATTTGAATCATTGCCAGCAAAATTTAACAAACAAAAATTTTTGTTCAAAAAAGGGGACATACGGACGAAACAAACTAACTGAAAAAAATGAGTTTCTATGTTAAAATCAATCAATCAATCGATAAATCAATGATTGAAAGTTGCTGTGTTTTTCTTCCAAGTTGTTGTTGCTTTTTCCTTTTAAATTCAACAGCAAACAAATCTTTTTTTTTTGGGCGAAACAAAACAATTCTTCATTAAACGAGTGGTTGGTTGGTTGGTTTGTTTTTGTCAATTGGTCTTCATTGTCGATTGCATCATTATCATCATCGTTTACCACCATTGTATTCTATTCATCGTTAAAGTTGAACAGGATGGTTGTTGTTATCATTATACTGGATAGTATAGAGAGAGTAGTAGCCATATTTAATGTAATTTGTTTACATTTCAATTCAAATATAAACTTTCAATTTTGTTGTTGTTGTTGTTGTAATTCGTTAAAGGCAAAGGCATTTAGAATTTTGTTCGTTATTTTTCTTGCATTTTTTTTCACCAGTCTCAATATCACTTTTCTTCAATAATTTCTCTTTTTCCAAACAAAAACAAAAAAAAACATGATCCAAAACAAACTGGAATTACATAAGGCCAAATCGTATTGCGAAATCATTCATTCATTCATTTAGATTTTCTCTTTTCAATATTTCTCGATTTTATGTATACTTGAAAATATACACGTTTTATTTTTGGCTTGCCTTTTTTCGATGATCAATATCAATTAACAAATTCATTTCGTAATATCATTTAGTTTGTCGTCATCGACATTATCATCTTTGTCGAAACATAATCGACATTCATTCATTCAATTTCATTAAGTAAATTAGTAATTAACAATGTTTTTTTTTGTTTGTTGTTGTTGTTGTTGTTCTAATTATATAAAAAAACAGTGTGTACTTTGGTTCAAAACAAACTTACCTTTTTTGCTTTTGATAAATAAAATGAACTGATTTGTCGAAATAGTAATAATTTCTTCTTTACCGGATTGCAAAATTGATTGTTTATGATCACTGTGTTGATGATGATGTTGATGAATAATATTGATCTAAGTAATAACAAGAACAGAATGAAAAAAAAATTATTGAATGAAACAAAATCGATCGTTTTTTTTTCTCAATCTAAATCTCCTCCTTCCATTACATTTTTTTTCTGCAGATTAATGATAATATCTTAAATATATTCAATGATAAAATCAATCAATCAATCAATCAATCGATCAATCAAAATCTAAATCTAAACAAAATGTTCAATAATCAGTTTTAGTCTTTATTGTTTGGGTACAGGTGTATTCAAGAACATTGTCATTAGCATCATCATTTTTTCATATGTCAATTCACTTAGTCGATGATGATGATGATGATGATGATGACGTAAGATTCTTTTGGATGAAAGAAGAAACAAATAAATGATGAACTTTGAAATTGTTGACGGCAACTTCAATCATTGAAGAGTTCGATAAACAACAACAACAACAACAAAAAATTAATCAAATTATAAACAAGATTATCTATCGAAAAGTAGAAAAAAAAACTTATCATAATCACTTTAGTCGAATGAAACGAAATTGATCATGTGATTATTATTCAGGAAATCCGAAGGTGGTCGATTCGATCGATTTTGTCTTTGTACATTAAAATAATGATGATGCAATAATATGATTTTTTTGAAATAAAACAACAATCGATTCGATTGTATTTTGATTGGATAACGATGATGATTAACAATCGAACAAATAAAATCCACTCATTATATATCTCTAACCACAGAGGCACATTAACATTAAAACAATATTGGTGACAAACAAATTACAAAACAAACAAAAAAATTAAAATTGTACCAACAAATTGATAAAAGTTGTCAAGAATTAAACGATACAGTGCAAAAATGATTGTCATCAAATCAGGAAAAAACTTTTTTTGTTGTTGTTGTTGTTTAGGTTTAAATCCTACAGGATACAATCGATTCGAATATTCTAATAACAACAAAAAAAACATTTTATTGGATTAAAAACAAACAAGAAAAATTCACTTACCAAATGATGAAATGATTGCATCAGATTTTTTTTTTGTTTTTTTTTGCATAAAAGAATGAATGAAATAAATGGCGCGTAAATTGATTGACCTTTGACCATTGGTCAATGGTCAAAGGTTTTATTTTCTCACCTTATTTTTTTCCTGATCTTCTTCTTGTTGTTGTTGTTTCTCTTTCTTTTCGTTTCTTTCTTACAAACAAAATTATGGCTATGGGCACAGAGTGAAGAAAATTCGCAAATATATTCGGATAATTGAATGAAAGAGCAAAGAAATTTTCCATGAAATAATCGAATGATTCGGTTGAGAAATAGTTTACGAAAAGATTCAAAAATTCAAAAAAAAAGAGAATTTGGAACGTTCGAACGAATCTGATTGGATAATTTTTTTCGAATGTTTTTTTGTTGTTGATAACATTCGATTCTGCGACAAGAGCGAACGTTTATGATTCTGGTGAACAACAACACAAAAAAAAATGAATAATCAAAAAATGTTTTTCGATAATTCAATTCAAAAATCACAATCAATTTTTTTCCAAAATAATGTCCCGAACAAAACAATGTTTGATTCATCATCTCAATCATTAAAAAATAATTGTTTTTTTATGCCATTTCAACCGGCAAAATTCGGTGAAAAAAGTCATATGATTAAAATGCCACCCAATAACGAAAATATTGGTGAAAAATCTGAACAACAACAACAATCAAAATGCAATCAAACTCAAGATTATAATTATTTTGAAGTTGGTTTAGATATGGCTAATCTTACATTGTATAGTCAAAAGAAAAATGATACTTTAATGGATAAAACTCATGAATGTAAGTATTTTTTGAATATATTTTTTTTAGATTGAAAACATCAATTTTCAATTCTAGCTGAATCGATTACTATGAATCCAGAAGAAATTCTGAAACAAATCGAAAAATTCGAAGATATGAGAAATCAGAAAATCGCTGATCTCGAATGCGAAATTGAAAAATCAAAATCAATCATCGATGAATTAAATCGAGAAAACGAACAACTTAAAATGGAGAATGAACAGATTTCGGTAACAAAAGCTCAACAAACAGAAGTTCCCATTGAAATGATAGAAAGTTTAACCGTTCGTTGTAATGATTATGAAAAGAATTTGGAAAAAATTATGAAACGATTCGAACAATTGAATCAAGAAGCAAATGAATTGAAGAAAACTATGAAATATTTTGTTGATGAACGAAATGAATATGAAATTCAAATTGAACAATATAAAATTTCATTACAAAAAATGGAATATAAATATTATGATGATTTAAAAGATTTGAATTCAAAATTAGATGAACAACAACAAATGTTTGAAGATAAAGAATCTGAATATGAACGACAAACTGAAATGAATAATAATAAATCAATACAAATGATTCAAAAAATTTGCGATGAATATGAAGAAAAAATCAAACAATTAATGAATTCAATTGAACAAGGAACAAAAAAATTGACAAAATTAAATGACGAAATTGATCAACTTAAACTGGATAAAAATGAATTTAATAATGAAATGAAAAAACTGATCGAATCAAATTGTGAATTAAATTCAAACATTGAAAATATGAAAATGGTTGAAGAAGAAAATCAAAATCTTCAATTAGAATTGAATGAAAAACAATCGGAATTGAAAAAAAATGAAGATAATATTAATGTTTTGAAAAATCAACTTGAAGAAAAAGAAAAGGAACGTTTAGATCAAATTGAACAGATTGAAAAAATCACTAAAGAATCATTCAATCTTTGTGAAGATGTTCGTAAACTTTATTTTCTATTCCAAAAACAAAAATCATCTTTAAAACAAATGAAACAAATTAAGATTGAACTTGAAAATACTAAAGAAGAACATCGACAACAAATGTTACAGAATCAACAAGAATTAGAACAATTGAAACAAACCAATGAATCATTGTTGATACAAGTTAAAAGTGTAGATACATTGAATTCAATGTACGATACAATGCAAAAACAATTACAAAAAATCAACGATAATAAAGAAAAAGAATTTAAAAACAAACTTGATGAAAAAGATAAAATTATTGCCGATCAACAGGCAAGAATTCATGAATATGTTGAAAAAGTTAAATTGATTCAAATGGAAAAAGATAAAGTTTTACGATCATTTCATGATAAAGTATTGGATTCAATGAAACAATCATCATCGATTTCGGTTTCGGCTGTAACGCCAATCACAAATCAAGCTGGTTATAAAATTTTTCCTAAAACTTCTACGAAACGATTAAATGATGAAAATGAAAATACTACCGCATTTGATAATCAACAATGTCAAGAAAACTATGAAAAAACTTTGGATACTGTTATCATATCGAAGGATCAACAAGTGGAAAATACTATGGATTTTCAATTGCCACAATCTTCATCATCCTATTCAATCGTAAAATCGAAAAAGTCCAACAACACTATTGATGCAAATAGTGATGATGATATCTTTAAAAACATTGTCACCACTTCGATCAATGAGCCAGTGCCAAAATCGAAACCTATTTCGAATATTGCTCCGATTTCAGCTAAACTAGCTGAACATGATGCTGACAAAGCACAAATTATCACCGATTCGATCAATAAATTACCCGACAATGATTGTGAAAAAAACAAATCAAAAATAGAATCTACAAATATTGTGGGAATATTGAAACGAAAAAATTCAGTTCGAAATGATTCAATTGATTCAAAAACCAGAAACAATTTATCAAATGACAATAAAACCAAAAAGATTAGATTTTCCGGTGATGTAGTTGATAATGAAAAACAAAGTACAACAAAGGCTTCAAAGTTACCAACTTATCGTGCCAGGAAGAAATCTCTTATCGATATTTCATATGTTAAAAGTAATTCGAATGAAAAAATGAAATCAACAAATTCGAAAAACAAACGTAAATCTAAATTGTTTGATGATGATTCAGAAAGTTCTCCGGATTGGGTTGATGATGTTTTCACTTTCCCTTGAAACTTATCTACTAATCAAATTGATTCCATTATTCTTTCTTTTTTTTTGTTTTGTTAATTATCAATAATCATTAATTTCAAATATCCTGTGTAAGTATATTGTCAATGTTTTTTTCTAATCAAATTGTACCCATTTTTTTATATTTTATCTAGCATTTCTCAACATTTTTTTTCTTCAATAAACTCGTGAATGGAATTTTCCCCATTGTGATAATGTCGAGTGATAATCAGCCAGATTATATACAAATTGATAATATCATTTTCAAATAGAGTTTAACATTATTTCACTTTCTTATGGATGACAAAGACATATTATTGAAATATCAATTAATAATTATAATTATAATAAAATATCTTTTATAGTTTTGTTTGGATTAATAAAAAAAATTATAAATCAGTTGAATTTTAAAATTTTTTTATTTTTTTCCTTAGTAAAATAATTTGATTTCAGCAATTTTTTTGTTGTTGTTTGTTTGTTGAAAAAAATGTTTGTGTTTTGCTAATTTGTTTTATTTTTTTTGTTTAAATTCTAGATGTAATTATAAATTTTAAAATTAAATAATAATTAATAGCCATCTGAAATTACAATCAATTTATCAATTTGTTTTTGATGGTTTTCTCTCCTCTTCCCCCCTATAATGCCAATAGATTTCTATGTAGATATTTAAGCTTGTTTAGCTTCCAATTTCTTTTTCAAACTTTCGGGCATTTCTGGTGGTGGTGGTCGTGGTAAACGAAGCCATACTTTAACAGCATCATAAATAAACCATTGTAATGCAGTCAATGTACCAATCATAATAATACGTGGAACTAATCCTTTCCATACACCTATATGGATTGTTATTTTTTGAAAATTAAGATTAAAAAATGATTACAAAAAAACACTTATTTAAAACAACTTACCAATAAAACCAAGTTTTTTCAATACAGCACCAGCTGAACTACCACGATCTTGATTTAATTTTGAAACAACAGTATCAGCTGGATGTGAAACAACAGCACAAAAAACACCAGCAATATAACCAGCAGCAAATGTAACAGTTAATTGTTCAACTTTATTACATTCGGCACGTGGTTTAGGTACAACATGTTTATATAATAATTCAACAGTACGTTCAAAACAGGCAAATTTCATCATTGTATACGGGATTTGTCTCATCCATAATGGTACTAAACCTTTATAAAAACCACCAATACCTTCATTACGATAAATTAATGGTGCAATATTACGTAGTAATGGTGATGCACCAGCCATTGTTTGTGTTCGTACTTTACATGCTTCTAATGGACATAATGCAATATCGGCAAAAAATTCAGCCGATGCAGAAGCAGCCAAATATAATGATGTACGATAAGTATAGGATAATTCTTCACCCAATAAATTGCCATAAAAAATTTTGAATATTTCATAAAAACCAAATTTTCCTAAACCTTGTAATGAATAACCGATACAAGTTGGTGCCCAACCACGTACCAAACCACGAAAACCATCTTCAGCATAGGTCACCTTGAAACCATGACCAATATTTTTAAATTTTTCCGGATTTGTTTGTATACGACATTTAACCAAATCTAATGGTGTTACAGCTGTATGTGTAATACCACAACTAAGTATACCACCAAAACCACATAAACCATAATATTTTAATGAACCAAATTCAACTTCACCTTCAACTGTTTTGTGTGTTAAAGAAAGTAAAATGAAAAAATATTTTAAAGAAATGAAAGAAATGATTATAATTACCAGCATTAGCCATTGAAAATTGTCTAGCCGGTACCACAGATGTTGTTGATGATGATAATGACAATGGTGGTGGTGATGATAATGATGATGATGAAGATGGCGATTGACATTGAGCATTACGCAAAAATGGATAAAATATTGTCGATTTATTGGAAATATTATCAAACATTCCCAAATATCTTGCTGAATTATTATTGTTATCCATTGTTTGTTTTGTAAAAAAAACTAATGTAAAACTAGAAGAAAATCAAAGAAAAGATAGAAAAATTGAAAGATTGAAACATGAAATTACCTGAAGAATTTTTTTTCAAATTGAAAAGAGGAAAGGAGACAGAAATGCTCAACTAAACAAACAAACGAAAATATCGGAAACCGGCAACAAGAATCTCAATTTATGATTTTTCGATTATGGAGTGATGCTGATGGTGATGATAATGAACAAACCAAACCAAACCAACAATCAAAGAAAAGAGGACACGCTGTCTTTTCTATATTCGATTCGATGATGATATGACTTTTATTTCGCCCCTGAAATACGAATGTGAACGGCAAAAAAGTGATACACCGACAACAACAAGTAGTGGTAATCGGAAAAAATAAAGTGAGTTTATATCATTTTTCACTCACTTAACCACATGCCGATATCCATTCAACAAGGTCAAACAGAACACACAATTAAAAAAAAACTGAATTGAATTGCTGATTTATTCATAAATAATGTATTTTTTTGATTTTTATAAAAAAAAAAATTGTAATTAATTAAACACGATTTTTATTACAAAATACTTTATTTCATTTCCGATTTTTTGTTCGTTCGTTAATATTTATAAAAAGAAACAAAAAAAAAATATCGATATAATATTCATCAACCTAACCTCACTGTACTATGAATCAAAGTCATAGTCATGATAGTCATCAACCTAACCTCACTGCACTATGAATCAAAGTCATAGTCATAGTCATAGAAATAGTCATCAACCTAACCTCACTGTACTATGAATCAAAGTCATAGTCATAGTTATGGCTATCAACCTAACCTCACTGCACTTTGAATCAAAGTCATGATAATCATCAACCTAACCTAACTGAATCATAATATATCTTAACTTTCATATACAGACACTCTTTATGCGCGTGTATTGATTATAGGCCATAATAACAAGCATGCTTGATGTTAATGTTATTGTTTTGTCCTTGTTTCTTCTTTTTTAAAATTTTGGTTTCTGTTTTAATTCGCACGCGCAAATCGAACAACCAAACAACAACATTGAAAAAAAGCTCAAATCAGGAGAGATTCATATTGTTTATTTTTGTTTTGTTTTTGTTTTACGAAATTCTTTTCTCTTTTTTCCTTTTCTTTTTTTCAAATTTATTCTTCTTGAATCTCTCATCAGAATCTGATTGGATTGCTAAACAGGTAAACATTGATTTGTAAGTGATTTTTTTGTAAGTTGTTGGATTTTCATTCTCGAATTTCAATGTTTCAATTCAACAGATTCTAACAAAAAAAATGTTGGGCCGAATTATATCATCGTTGATAATAAAAACAACACCAAAATCATCATCATCATCTTCATTTGCTTGTAATAACATTATTCAACAACAACAACGAACATTTCATCAAACAACTTGTCATCAAGCTCAAGTAAACATTTTTTCTTTGAAAAATTTTGAATTTGATTCGAAATTCTTGTCTCTTCTTTCTCCAACTATAGTTAACAGTACGTGATGCATTAAATACTGCCTTAGATGAAGAATTAGAACGTGATGAAAATGTATTTATAATGGGTGAAGAAGTTGCACAATATGATGGTGCATATAAAATAACAAAAGGTCTTTGGCGTAAATATGGTGATAAACGTGTTATTGATACACCAATTACTGAAATGGGTTTTGCTGGTATGGCTGTTGGTGCTGCATTTGTATGTTTTTCATCATTTTTTTTTCGTATTTAACCTCACCTGAAAATATTCCATTTCATTTTTTACCAATAGTATGGTCTTCGTCCAATTTGTGAATTTATGACATTTAATTTTGCAATGCAAGCAATTGATCATATTATAAATTCAGCAGCAAAAACATATTATATGTCAGCCGGTCGTATTGCTGTACCGATTGTATTTCGTGGACCGAATGGTGCAGCAGCTGGTGTTGCTGCACAACATTCACAATGTTTTGCCGCTTGGTATTCAAATTGTCCTGGACTAAAAGTTTTAGCACCATATTCAGCTGAAGATGCAAAAGGTTTATTAAAATCAGCTATTCGTGATCCAGATCCGGTTGTATTTTTAGAAAATGAAATACTTTATGGTCAATCATTTGATGTTGATGATAATGTTTTATCAAAAGATTTTCTACTACCGATTGGAAAGGCAAAAATTGAACGACAAGGTGATCGTATTACTGTTTGTAGTTTTTCAAAAGGTGTTGAAACATCATTAGAAGCAGCACAGATTCTTTCACAAATGGGTATTGAATTAGAAGTAATAAATCTTCGTTCAATACGACCATTAGATTTTGATACAATATCCAAATCGGTAATGAAAACAAATCATTTAATAACTGTTGAACAAGGTTGGCCACAATCTGGTGTTGGTGCTGAAATTTGTGCACAAATTATTGAAAGTAAGTTTACCTTTGATTTACCTTTGATCTTGATTTTAATTAATTTTACCTTTATATTTCAATCAAAAAAAAACCAAGGTCCTGTTTTTGATTATTTAGATGCACCAATTATACGAATAACTGGAGCAGATGTACCAATGCCATATGCAAAATCATTAGAATCAAATGCATTACCAAAAGCCAATGATATTGTTATGTCGATAAAAAAGATGCTCAATTTGGAATGAAACGAAAAAAAACAATGATTGAAAAATTTTATTTGAAAATTGTAGCAAATTCACCATCATCATCATCATCATCATCATTAATCATCAGCATAATGGATAACCAAAATTCGCTACTTTTTTTCTTTTTTTGATACATAATTGTTGCAATGTCTTATCCAGGTATGTTTTCACTGTTTCAACCATTTTAATTAACCCTTTTCATTCTTTTCTTTTCAGGTGATACTCGTTTGGTTTGCTTTTTTTTTGTTGTTTTTGTTTTGTTTTGTTTTTGTCGAACATTCATCATTTGTTTGTGTCTGAATTCTTTGATTTTGATATTTGATTTTATTTTTTCAAAATAAAATTTAACGAAACAAACAAAAAATTACAAATTTTTTTCAAAAAAAAAAACTAGGTCAAAATGATGATTATTTTGTTTATTTATTTTATTTACAGTTATATTTACAATTCAGAATTGAATTGAATCAAATTATGTTTTTTTTTGAATTGAATTAAAAAAAACATTTTGGAAATGGATGAATGATATTTGAGCTTTGAGGTAACAAGCCTACAATTCAATTCTATTGATGATGATGATGATTGGATGTTAGAATAAGAATGGAAGATATGGCTCGTTGATTATTGTTTTGAACAAAAAAAAAATTGAAAAAAAAATTCCTATTCAAATATCAAAATTGGTTGGTCACCATTAACAGTAAAAAAAACATCTGTTCAAATTAACCTAAATTCTTCTTCTATTTTTTTTTCTCTTTTATTTTTCCAATATTGTTTGTTGGTTATGGATGATATTCGATGATGATGATGATTGTTGTTATGAATTTGATTCATTTGAATTTTGATCATTCATTCATTGATTTCATCAATAATGTTAACATTAAATGATTATAATCAAAATAATTTTAATACAAATCGTTTGACCAAATCCATTTCAATGTATCAATCATCATCATCAACAAAATCTATGGCAAATAATTATCATCATCTTAATCATAATCATAATAATAATCCATTAATATTGATGATAAAAAATTTTGGTTGGTTAACACTGATGATAATTTTGGTTTTTGTTTGGAAACAATCATTGAATCCATTCAATTCATCAATTGATTCCAATAACAACTTAATGAATTCAAATCAATTATCGGTTGAAGCATTTTTTTTCGATAAATTTGAACGTTTTAAACGTATTACATTACCAACAGCATTTTCTGGTCTTAGTAGTTTATTACCTGGCCTTTCATCACCTGGTATACGTGTTTGTATTAATTTTAATTCACAATATCCACAAGGTTATCAACAGGTGTGTGTAAAGGGTTTAAAAAAAACGAAAATTCAAAATTCCAAAAATTTTATCGTTTTTTTTTTCTTTTCGTTAAAACAGAATACCTGCTTCCTATGCGATGTTTATCGTTTTAATTCGATTGTAAGTTGTTTTTTTACCTAAGTTTTTTTTTGATTGAAAATTTTTTTAAATAATAATTTTTTTTTTCTCACCTGAATATCAAGGCATATCAATGTACTGGACAGGTAAGTGTGTAAATTGGAATTTTGATTAGATTTTTTTTTGGTTATCGTTTTTTTTCTTATTAAAAAGACCCAAATACCTGGTAATATTAATTTTACACAAGCAAATTGTATAATGAATTCATGTCAACCAATGATGTATGGTGCTGGTGCTGGTGGTGGTATTGGAGGTGGTGGTGGATCATTTATGACAAATCGTTATCAATTACCAATAAATATTGGTCATTTAACATTACCACCATCATCATCATCATCATCATTACCTCAACCAAAATTTGGTCTATTTCAATCACAAGCATTATTACAACAACATTATCAACAACAATTACAATTACAACAACAACAACAGCAACAACAATTACAACAACAACAACAACAACAACAACAACAAAATAAACCAATACCATAAAATGGAATTCAATCATAGAATATTCTTCAATTTTTATATAAAACAAATTTTTTTTCAATTTTCTTCTTCTTTTTTTTCTGGTGGATGGATACAAAACAAAAGTTATTATTTTATAATTCAAAAACAATTTAATTACAAGGGAAAATAAATTTTAAATTTTAGCGCCGAAAAATGAAAAATTTGTAAAAATTTTATTTGGATTCGAATTCGAATTCGAATGTTTGAATTAGGTGCAGCTATAACCACTACCACCAATTTATTGAAATAGAATTTTTTTCCAGAAAAATTATTTTCTATGCTTCTACTTTGTTTTTTTCCCAGATAAAAAAAATCGAATACTGCAGTAATTCAGTAGTAGTAGTGGCAAAAGAAATAATACAAAGATTGAATAATTTCAAATTCTATTTCATTCATAATTATATGCTACTACTCGATCCGGTTTTAACAGTAATAAAAAAAATTGATAAAATTCCGGGCGTTGATTTTTTTTTTTTTGTTTCTCAAATTCCAATACCGCTACCACCAAACAACTATATACACATAGATTGGTTTAATTCCAAAAAAAAATTCTGTTTACACCCATGTGTGTATGTATGTCTTTTTGCTCCATAACAACAACAACCACTATCACTATCACTAAAAGATTCGAAACGAGTAAAAAAAAAGAAAAAGAAAAAAAAATCCGTATCCACCAAAACACCATCAAAACACCAAACACCATCAAGCATTGAAAAATCCATCTGAAAAAAAAAGAAACAGATAATTAAATCCTGCAGGAATAAGCTTCTGGCTTTTGTTTCCTTACACACTAAACACCAATATCTCCATTATCATCACCATCATCATCAGATTTGATTTCTTTGATTTTTGGTTTTGTTCTGGGGTTCCAAAAACAAACAACAACAACAGCAACATTCGACTGAAATATGAATCTTGATTGAAAAAAATGAAATGATGATGATCCACAGTAATCAGTTAGCCTGAAAATCAACAACCAAAATCAATTGGTAAGTTTGTTTGTTTTTGCTTTTTGTTCAGGATTTTAGATATTGAAAATGTTGTTGTTGTTTTTAATTATTGCAATCCATATTCGCAACCATCATAATCATCATTTGTATGACTAATTTTATGATTTCAAAATAACGGATTTGTTGAAAAAAAAACATTTGTTGTTCTTTGTTGTTGTTTGCTTGTTGTTGTTGTTTGCTTGCTTGTAAAATATTATCATTATCATTTCATTTTTGAATGAAATCAACAAAAAACATGAAACCTTTAGACATTGAACTTTGTACAGGAAGGACAAATCAAAATTGATAACAAAAACAACATTAACAACAACAACAAGCCTTTGATCTCAATTTTTTGTTTCTCTTTTCGTTCGTAGTAGTCGTTGTACACCAAACAAATCAACAATGACCGGTTATTGTTGTTGTTGTTTATCCGAAAATCTGAAGAAAAAACATTTTTTTTCATCAAAAGTCGATCAACTCGATTCGAGAACACGTTATTTATGTATGATGACTGAATGAATGAATGAAAGTTTTCAATCTAAAAAAGAATCTTTTTTTTTAAAAAAAAAAAGAAAGATTCGGCGCTTGTAAATATCATTTGGAATGGGTTTTTTGTTCACTATTTATATATAGAAAGAAAACAAACCAAAATGATATAATATTCTCTATTCATCAGGCGTTGTCATCATCAGTATCAAGCTTATTTCGGTTTTTGTTTACCGGTTAGTATTTTTGGCAGTGTTTTTCCTTTCCTTTCCTTTTTTTCGCTTAATTTTGCGACTGCGGAAAATGTACCGAGAAGAAGAAGAAGAAAAAAAATACCGCAGTGTCTTCTGTTCGTGCTTTGGTTGATTTACGGGTTTTTTTTCTTCGGTGTATGTGTAGTGTCACTGAACGTACGTCGTACGATTAAATGTTTGTTTGTTTGATGATTATTCAATCGCATAAAGCTTTTTTGATCGATCAAAGTGTTTGTTATTCGGTTTTTCTTCATTTCACTTTTACTTGCAAATGTCATTTTTTTTTGTGTATAATAATCCAAATTTAGCAACCAGAATTTGTTTTTATTAAACCAGAATTTTGTTTTTTGCATTACGTTTGCTATTATGTGATGTGTCTCTGTGTGTGTATGTAACCATATGTCTGTTTTGAGTGTGTGTTACATAATAATAATAATCTTTGAATATTGAAAAAAGAATTTTCGTTGATTGACAAAGTAGGTAAGCAAGATTTTATTGGATTTTTTTTTTTGAAAAATTTTCAAATCAAATTTCAAAAAAAAATATCGATTTGTTTGTTTGTTGCGGTTCATTTGATTTTCATGTCGTTTTATTGTTGAATGAATGAATGATAGGAGTGGCGTTTGATTCAAATTTCAATCAATCCAATGGAGAAAATCTATGCCATTGATTTTTTCTTGCGGATTGCAAGAAAAGATTTCAAGTTTTTTTTTCATTTCCATTTTATTATTGTAAAGGGGGGAAGCCTTGTTTGCAAACAAGGAACAAACAAACGACACTTATTACCTTGAAAAAAGTGGCTAAAATATGATGATCCTGACCGAAAAAAAGAAGTATGGATGGATTGAAATCAGGAAAAATTATCATTTTACGCCATTTTATATGATGATTATGGTGATGGTGATGATTATCATCGTCGTCGTCGCCCTTACCTAATTTTTGTTGTTGTTGTTGTTGAAAATATTGACCGTTTACGAGAAACAGCAGAAAAATGATGATGATGAAAAATCCAATAAAATATCGACCTGATTTGTTTTTCTGGAAGTGCAGTGAAAAAAACAAGAAGATCGACAGAGAGAGAGAGAGAGAGAGAGAGCGAGATAAAGCTCAATTTGATGCTCAAATTTCAAAAATGATAATGATGATAATGATGTTTATAAATATTTTTACTATTTGCTTTCGGATTTTTTTTTCTAAGTTTAGTTTTTTGGTTTACCTGAACTATTTTACAATTTATCATCCTGCTGATCCTGATGATCAGGATCATTTTTCAAACGAACGAAAAAAAAACATGAATAAAATTGAAATAAAAAAAACACTATTTTAACAGCAGTAACAAGAACAAAGATGCCCTCCCCAAAAAAAACAACATCCATTAAATAATAATGATTATTATTTGTGTTAAAATAGTTTTACCTACTGAATATAATAATTCGATAATCAATCAATCAATCGATTAATAAATATCTATCCAACCAGGGATATTTTGACAGATTTTTTTTTCAATATTTATTAGAAAAAAATGATAATGATTTTCGGTACAGAAATGATACCTGTGTTACCTGTTTTTTTTACTACCGAAAAATCATTTTTTTATATGTCTGGTGTGTCTGGTGCGTCTCAAGCACTTTTTTTTATTTGATTAATCAAAGGTTAATTATCATCATTTGGAACCCAAAAAAAAAATTCTTTGAAACCCAAGATTGAATTAATGAGAATTTTAGATTTTACAACGTTTTTTTAGAAGAAAATCTGATTATTATGATAAATCCACAAAGGATAAGATTTTGTAATCTCTTTTTGTTTATGATGGGCCACCACCATCATCATCATAGTAAAATTTAAGATTGACATTTCGAAGATCAATAATAAATTGAATCCATTGTTTCGTTTGACCATCGTTTATCAAATTTTGTTTTTGATTTTTTCAAACTTTAATTTGATTATTTATAATAAAATACTTTACGGATACTTTTTTTTCTACAGAAAAATTCCATAAATTTTCCCGTATAATTTTTCTCTTCTTTTTTTTCGCTGAATTTCGGTCAAGAAAAAGAGAAAATTTTTTCTGAAGAAACACAAAAAAAGGAGAAAACAAAATCCATTTCAGTAAATCCACTGATTTTTGTGTCTTAAATCTTTCCACTACTACTACCAAAATGATGATTGTATTTATGCTACTACTACCATCATTATAGTTACAGCTACCTATGTGTTTTGTATCCTTTTGAATTGATTTTTTAGCATCCTTTTTTTTGCCCAATTCATTTTCATTCAACAATTTATATTTGTATCGAAAAGTAACAGCAAAAAAACAACCAAACAAAACAAAAAACATCATATGTTGTGTGCAGCGACCATTCAATCACAAAAAATCAAATCAAATAACGTCGTCGTCGTCGTCGTCATCGTCATTAGGATTCATAAATGTTTTGTTATCTTTGAAACAAGATACAAAAAAGAAAAAATTGTTTAATCATCATTATCATTATCAACATTGAAAATTGAATTTTGCTTTAGAAATGTATGTTTCTGGGTTTGTTTTGTTTTTGTTTTTGTCGTTTTGTTTTTGTTCCCTATTTGATTTTTTTGTGTTAAATTCAATTTAACAATGTTTTTT